TATTATAAAAATTCAATAAATATTATAAAATAAAAATAAAAATATGTACAAGAATCCTCCTAGCCCAACCCACCATCAGAATTTAGAAAAAGAAAAATTCTTCCCACCGTTCTCCAAAATGTACGAAAATTCAGCAACATTTCTTTTTGTTTTTGGGAATTCGATGTGAAGGTAACCGCCTTATACGAATGGATTATGCGGAGAGGTTCGTGGTTCATCCAGGGTGGACCCACCCTGGCCAGCGAGGGATGTTGTGGTGACGTGGAAGGGCCACGGCGCATCACAAGTCTGCGGCGGCGATGGTCGAGGCAGAGGTTACGGTGTAGTGAAGGGAGGGGATCGATGGTGGTGGTGTACCGACGGCGGCGATGGTGGTGGTGAAATCATCGTCTCCACTTCTTGATTTTGATGGTGGGTGGCTGAGAATTTTCGAGAACGTACAAGACAAAAACAAAAAGAGAGGGTAAAATAGTAATGGCACTGCAAAATTTAACACGGTCAAATTTCTTGACTTGGTGTAAAAAAATAGGGGGTTTTGTAGTTTTTAATACTAAAAGGGGGTGAATGCAATATTTTTCATAGTAAAGGGGTGGAAACTGTATTTTACCCTTTAATTTATCAGAAGAAATTTATCACATTTCATACATAATTTTATTTTCTTGCCTTTTCTATTAATTAGATATTTTCAGTGGAAAATTAAAAGGAAATTTTACTTTTATGTATTTAACGTAACTATTGTAACACCCCGCCTTCCCGATACCCGGTTTTCGTATTTCCCTCTCGTCTCGTTTGCATGCATATGTGTTATATGTGCGAATTTAATTACTTGCTTTTCAATTTTCTATATTTGCTATTTATGTGAATTTATGTGAACTAATGTGCATTATATGTCGACATGAATATTTTTGATTTTATTCTCTATTTGCGCAACTAAAATGTATTTCACGTGTTTAATATAATTGAACACGTGAAGTTATGTGATCTACGAGGTTTAGTTTTCGTAGCATAAGAATTTATTTTCTCACACTAGAAAGTTTATATGCTTAATTGATAGTAATTTCCTCTCCTTTAAATTGGCTAGGATTGTATGTGTTGCATGCACACACTTATTCCATGTGCATTTCCACTTGGCCTTTCATTTAGCATTATTTTTAACAAAACTTAAATGAAATTGCCTAGAAGTCCCTCTAGATTATTTCAAGTTACTCCTAATTGCAAAAAAGACCCCTCTTCATACTTACTCATTAAGAATACAAGCCTCTTCAATTCTATAAATACCACCCTCTCCTCTTCATTTCCTCACACCAAAAATCAGCCAAGTCCCCTTTTCCTTCCCCCTCCCCATCGATCAAAATAGCCCAAGTAGAAGAAGAAATCTCTTTTTCTAATTCAAGCCTTCTCCATTAAATCTCTTCCTTCTTCTTCTTCTTCTTCTTCTTCTCGTTTTTCTTTCATAAATTCCTAGCTAGCATAGTTCTTCATCTCCAAAAGGAGATTCTTCAACCAAGAAGGGATTCTCTAGTGGGTTTCAAATATATACAAAGCCTTTCAAATTCTCAAAGACCCTAAGGTAAGAATCATGGAATTCTTGCTACATCAAGCTAACATCAATAGTATTTCCTTCTCTTCTCTTTTGAAAAACTCCCCTTCTTGATTGTTTGAAGAAATCGAATGTTTTATGAAAGAAAGTGTTCATAGTGTGTTATATTATATGTTTAGTCTCATGCATGTTAAGATCCATGCTTGAATCCTTGATCTTTGATGAGAAAAATGATGATGATGTTTTGATATGTTTAATTTCATGTTTAAAGCTTTGCATGTGAGAATCTAGCTCTTGATTCTTGATTCTTGAAAGAAAATAGAAGATTGGTGAGAAAACCGAAAATTTGATGATTATATGCTATGAAATTAATTATCTTGATGTTTATAATGATTGCATGTTAAGATTTACTAATTATGATTATATGTTGAAGGTTTTGATTTGAGGCACATAAGTTGATTGGGTCTAGAATCTTGAAATAGATTGTTATATGTAAAATTTTCAGATTCATAGGTACGGATTTTAACCCATGTTTCACCCACGAGTTTATTTATGAAAACTACGAAATTTTAGATGAGGATAGATCTTTCTATTATGGTCATATTGATATATGGCTTGTAATTTTTGGAGTAGAAATGAATGAGTTATGAATTATTTACCGAAACTGTACAAAACTAGAGTTAGTTTAGAATTAGTAATGAAATCTAATGTTTTCCTCTTTCAAATTTAGTGATTGCACTTGGATTAGAATCCCAACTTAGAAAAATCATTTGAGATAATATTTGGCAGTGTTTGACACAGTAGATAATGTATAAGAAATTTTTGAAGTCTCCTCCCCTGTTCTGAGTTTTAAACTGCACTACTTTACCATTTTATTTATTTATCCTAGATTCCTAAGTATTTTCTAAAACTGTTTTGCTGGGGTATATAAGACTCCTAATAGTATATGGAGTTAAAATTTCAAAAGGTTTGGATGAATCAGTAAAGCAAAATGAATTTTTAAAGTGACTCCCTCTGTTCAGATTTCAAAACTGTACCACCTTAGAAATTTATTTATATCTCTTACTCGGATAATGATTTTTCTAAACTGTTTCTCGGTGGTTTTAAAGGCATATAAAGGAGTATGTAGTAAAACTTTCAAAGGCTTTTGATTTGTGGTGCAAGAGAAATGATTTTTCAAAGTTAGGATACCAAAGCTGTTTGATTTTCTTAAGATGACTATTTTTATCAAAGTATGATTTGTGATCATGGTTCTAATATACGAGGTAGGAAAGATAAGTTAGTGATGAAGGTGAAACCTCTAAGTTATGGTCTAATGATCTAAGTTTAGGTATTATGTTGCATGTTATAAGAGAGAATTAGAGTCTACTAGCCTAGAACGGTGTTATGAATCAAGTGCAAGATTTAGAAAAATGATTAATTGATTTATGATGATAAATTAGAATACTTGATTGTTTTCGTATATTATTTGTGATGTTATGTGACCCTTTTGAAATAAAGGTTTATGTATTAAGTGATTAGACTAAAGTAATGCCGTATGTGATAATTTTTATAATTCATGATATGAGTGATATTGATATGCTATGAATGACATGGTTATATGATTATGTGATTACAATATGGTTAAAGTTGAAGAATGCCCTTCTTGGTGCTACTATGTGATAATAAATATTTATGTGTGTTCATGGAATGAAATGTGAAGTAAAGGTGCTATGTTCTATATGATTATGTGTTCAATGATTTGATTGAAGATGTGAAGTATAATTGTTGTGATACTTGTTACTTTTATGTTTGTTTATTTGATTAAACATAGATAGATCATGTAAGCTTCATGTCATTCATTAGTAAGTCTAAGATGCATACATCACGATTTTTCAAAGTTAAAAATGTTTGGAAATTGGTTGTGGATCTAGGTGAATAAGTATGGGATACGGGGGGCTGGTATTCCGTTAGTGGTTGATAGTTGGGGTCCACATAGGGGCCTGTCCACATAGGGACTGATTCACATAGGAATCGGGATTATAAACCACTAACTCGGCTATAGTAAAGTTATAGCCGTGACTATATTCCGGTTAGTGGTTGATAGTTGGGGTCCACATAGGGGCCTGTCCACATAGGGACTGATTCACATAGGAATCGGGATTATAAACCACTAACTCGGCTATAGTAAAGTTATAGTCGTGACTATAGTAAAGTTATAGATCACAAGCTCCAAAACACACGGCTTATTGCCGAACTCCACGATTGTTTTTCCAAACGGGCCCAATGTTTTCTCATGAAAAGTTTTAAAAGTCTAAAGTCTCATTTTCATGCATATTGCATATTAACGTAAAGAAAAGAAGGGTGTTAAGTACCCGACTTTTGCATATTAATGTAAAGAGAAAGAAGGGTGTTAAGTACCCGACCTTTGAAAGAAATGAAAGGATGTAAAGCATCCTTGAAAGATTTTAAGGAAAGGTAAAGGTAAGGTATAGTAAGTGCAAGTTTCGAATGATCGTAAATTTATTATGTGTTCGTGTGTGCCTATATATATATGTGTGTATATATATAAATTGGGCAAATTACCAGAACCCCCCTGAGGTAAGTCTGAATAACGAAAATCCCCCCCTTGTTCCCGTAATTACGAAAATCCCCCTTGACTAACGGTTGACCGAGTTTTTTAAACCGAAAACGTGAAATGTCTATTATATCCTTCTGTTAAATCTGTGAAAAATAAAAGAAAAAAGCTGAAAATGTGTATAGTCTATTGTACCCTCTGTTAAATCGTGCTAACATTGTTAAAACACGTTTTGTTCCTAACAATAACAACGTTTTCAATATCAAATCTTTTCACTTTTATTTTTCACATTCATCTTTTTCATCTGTCACGACTCCCCTCTTCACTTGGAGATTAGAGAAGATTAGGGCTGAACCAAAGAAATTGTTATCATCACCTATCAAGATTAGAGAAGATTAGGGCTCGAATCGCGAAGTTTACGTCCAGAATCAAAGGTTTGTATGGATATTTTGTTCAAGTTTTTTAGGGTTTTAAATTTCGGTAAAAAATTAGGGTTTTTGATTTTTGGTTTCAATTTTCTTCTTTTTCTTGTTTCTACTTTCTGATCTTTGGGTTCTTTGTTTTCTATTTTTTCGAGTTTCAAAAGGTACTATATTTTGTTCAAGTTTTTTAGGGTTTTAAATTTCGGTAAAAAAATTAGGGTTTTTGATTTTTGGTTTCAAATTTCTTCTTTTTCTTGTTTCTACTTTCTGACCTTTGGATTCGTGAAGGGGAAATAATAAATTACAGAAGTTAGGGAAATTAGGGTGGTATTCTGATTGGGATTTCTAATTTTTTATTTTTTGGTCTTATTTTTTTATTTTTGGTTTATAATTTCTGATTCCAAAGAATTAATTTATGATTTTGGGGATTATGTTTGTATTTGAATCTGATATGTTTTTTGTATTTGTATTTGAACTGCAGATGGTAGATTTATGCTCTGTTATTCTACACTACAGATCAAGTGAAGTTAAATTTGATAATATTGATCCTGACAAGTATAGTTATGAGGACTTATGTCTAGCCATTAGGAGATCATTTCCTAGTATTAATGGGGGTATTGAAGGGTTAAAGATGACATATATTAATGAGGATATTGAAGGGTTTCAAGGGTTGAGCATGGACTGTAGCTTTGATGTAAAAACAATGTTTGCCTTATGTGTGGATAATTGCTTCCATGTGTTAGTTGAGGATAAAGATCAGAGAGTTGAAGAAGACTCTGATTCTGATTTCCAAGCCAACATTGATGAAGATGACAACAGAAGTGAAGTGCCAAGTGATGAAGCTAATGATGATGATGATGATGCACTGAGTGGATATGAATCAGATAATCATTGCGAGCATACAAATTGGTCTGATGAGGAGCTGGATAATGATCCATTACAAGGATGCATGGATTTTGGGGATACAGTATTCACTCCTGAACCTGGGGAAAAGATCACTTTAAAGAAAGGTCAGGTGTTTACTGATGTGTATCAATTTAGACAAGTGTTGAAAGATTACATCATTCAAGAAGGCTTTCACTGTGTGAGAGATAAGAATGAAAAGCAGAGGGTTAGAGTACATTGTGGGGGTGAAAACTGTGCTTGGAGACTTCATGCCTCCACCTTACCTGATAATGTAACATATATGATCAAGGTTTGTCCATGTGAGCACACATGTACCAGAGGAGCTGTTGATAATGAGGTCAGTGCCAAGTGGTTAGCCTCAAAGCTGATGGATCTCTTAAGATCAGACCCTGATGCAAACCTGAAGGCAATGAGGCATGAGGTGACAAAATATGGGGTCAAACCACAATACATGCAGTTTTACAGGGCTAAAAGCATTGCACTTGATCAGATACAAGGAAACCATGCAAAATTGTTTGAAAAACTACCATATTATGGTACTATGGTTCTTGCTACCAACCCAGGCAGTGTAGTTACACTACAATGTGATGTTGAAGATGTTGAAGATGAAAATGGGTTAGGAGTACCACAAAAGCCACCTACATTCAAGAGGTTTTTCATGGGACTTGCTGCACTGAGAGATGGATTTTTAAGTGGGTGTAATCCATTTATTGGCTTTGATGGATGCCATCTTAAAGGGCCATATGGTGGTGTGTTGCTTTCAGCAATAGCACTGGATGGCAACAATGGCCTATATCCAATAGCATTTGCTATTGTTGAGACAGAGAATAGGGACAGTTGGAGTTTCTTCTTTCATAATCTCACAATCATGTTGGGAGGATTTTCTGATGGAAAGCCATGGACATTTATGACTGATAGGCAGAAGGTAAATTATGTCTTTGTTATAATTATGTTTTTTTTTATCAAAATAATTTCATAATGCATTTTTTTTCTTTATGTCAGGGACTGGTGGAGACAATTTCAGAGATGGCCCCCAATGTAATGAACAGAAGGTGTGCTAGGCACATTTGTGCCAATTTCAGAACTCATTTTGCTGGAGGTGCACTAAAGAAATGGTTTTGGTCAGCTGCCAGGTCATATACTTCCTCTGGTTTTAACTTTGCAATGTATAAAATGAAAGAGTTGAATGTTAATGCATATAAGTGGTTGCTAGCTATTCCATCTGAGCAGTGGTCAAGGTATGCCTTTGATAAAAGGCTTAAAAATGACCATGTTACTAATAACATTTCAGAGTCTTTTAATAATTGGATTGAAGAATTTAGACCCATGCCTTTCTTGAGTTTGTTAGATGGTCTTAGGTGTAAACTAATGAAAAGGCTTACAAATAGGGCTGCAAAAGGGCAGAAGTCCACACATGAGTTAATGCCAACTGTAGTTGAGAGGTTAAATATTGCAGTTGAAGAGTCTAGGAAGTGTGAGATTGTAGTTGCTGGAAATGATCAGTTTGAAATTAAAGACAAAAGAAATCATTTTGTTGTGAATTTATCAAACAAGAGATGTGACTGTGAAGAGTGGGATTTGTCTGGACTGCCTTGTAAACATGCCATAGTTGCAATCAAACACAACAGGCAGAGGCTTGAGGATTATACAGATAAGTGTTTTTCCAGGGAAATTTACATGACAGTTTATAGTCATTTTATCAATCCTATTAACCACCCTGATTTCTGGCCAGAACACCTAGATGCCACTCCAAAGGATCTGCAACCTCCTACTTATAGGAGGTTGCCTGGGAGACCTAAAAAAAATAGAAGAAAAGAGGCTGGAGAAGGCCAATCACAGAAAAGATCAACTGTGGTTAGATGCAAGAGATGCAAAGGTTGGGGGCATAACATTAGAACTTGCAAAGGACCAACTCAGTCTAGGAGAGGTGCCACAACCACAGCTAATGGGGTATGTTGTACAGTTTATTATTTTTACTTCATGTGTTCTTACAATTTGTTTATATGTTTCTAAGCAAATACAGATATATTGTAGGAAAATACACAATTTCAAGCCTCTAGCAATCCAGAAAGACAAGGTGAAGCATCAGTGTTGACTAGAAGAAAAAGAGCAAATGCCCAGGTATTCTATTTTTTTAACTTTCTTATTATGTATTTGGTGTTCTGTATTCTGTTTAATTTTTTAATATTTACCTTTTTTTACTTTATTACAGAGTAAAGTCTTTTTCAAAACCTTGTTATTACTTCCGGATTCTTACTGAGTCTTTTTAAAGGCTCATATAGATGTTATCTTGGTGTAGGTAGCTCATGATCCGAATCCGAGGAGCAAAGTTGAACCAAGTCCGGGGAAAGCCGAGGAACCGAGCCGTATGGAATTTATGTGGATTTAATTAACTTATGTTTTGGTACTTAAATATTTTTAGTGGATTGTAATCCGTAGTACTTGAATATGTTATCGGGAAATGATTTTTAATCCTTATGTATAATATAATATTTTCCGATTATTCTTGTTCTTTTCTAATGTTGATTTCTTAAGAGCTCTACCACAATCCGAATTTATTATTTGAAGCAAGAAAATGTTTTAAGGAAAATGTGGCACCGAATAAAGAGTGAAGTTGTTTTGACTTAAATCTATGAAGTGTTCGACTTCAAGGGTTTTTCAAGAAAAAAAAAATTTATCGAACAAAAATTGAAGCGAAACACTTCAAGTATTTTCAAAACTAGAGAAAACTTTACCACCTTTCTCTAGAACTTTGTTTCGAAAAACAAAACCGTATTTTTCAAAAGGTCTTCCGCTGCAACTTAATAGAAAAACCTTTATACCATTTTCCGGTATAGAGTATAAAGTAAACGGGGTGCTACAACTATGATGCACATAAACTTCTACCGGCATGCGTTTCCACGTTTTGGAAACTTTTAGGAAAACGCAACTCCATGCGTGACACTTGTTGGAAATATTTTGGTCATTTTTGTAAATGTCTAAAAGTTTTGGGGATATTTCAGGTGATAATGAAAAATTGAAAACGCGTTTCCACCCAAAAGTAATTGAAAACACATTTTAAAAAACTTGGAATTGCATACGATTTAAAAATCATGAATCTTATGTCTCTTTTTCATTTCTGGTGGTGTTTTAATAATTTTGTAAATGCTAATTCCATACTTAAATAAATTTATGTTCCCTGAATGTAATTTGTGGACTGATAATTTAGATTGAAATTTGTAAAAAGTATATATATATATATATATATATATATATATATATATATATATATATATATATATATATATATATATATATCTATATATATATATATAAACTAATATTTTGGACGAGTTTAAAAAATAAAAAAACGTTTTAGATTAAATAATCGAATAAAAATTTAAAAAGTTGACATATAATACGATATAATCCAAAAAATTAAAACAATTTTCATTTCATTTTATTTGAGTACTCATCAATGCAAAGAAATGATAAAAGAAAACATAAAAAACAAAAATTATGATATAGAGAATAAGATATATCATCTGAACCAAATGGTACAATTCTCTCGTTCGATGCACTCAGATTTTAACATTAAATTTATTTATCAAAGTGGTATGCATTGACATATCATGTTGCTCATATCAAATCAATGTAACACATTACTAAAACATAAGTCACATAAAAGTGCAAGAAATAAATACATTTTTTTAATTAAATTACCTTGAATAAAAATTACTTCACAGAAGTCGACAGTAATTTTAGCATAACGGACAAATAAACCTAGCACTGCAAAATAATTATGCATATAAATATATAATACAAAAACAAAATTGTATTTTTGTGATGTAGATTCATATTCGTTGAAAGCTTCCTTATAAACAACATTGCTAGTAATTTAGTGGCCTAATTCCAACATGGTGAATATATTTATGTCACCTCTACTCTTAACTCTCGACATTGCACGTATAATTGTCCATGCCACTACTAGTACTAATATTAATATATATTTTATATAATACGTGACTGAAAAAATTGAAAATTTTGAATTTCCTCGAGCCTTTAAAAAATTTACAATTGTTGAACTATTTATTTTTATTTTCATTTATATTACAACTTCCAAAATTCTGCATTCCGATTTTTTTTTTTTTTGAATGTCATTGGATTTTTGTTAGTAAATCATTCAACAAAATCGACCTACCAACAAAACGTCTCTTCTAAATGAAAAGGCCACCTGATTAAGCATACACCGGTAAAAATCAAAGATACAAAATCCAACCGACGACGGGAACAAATAAAGAATATTTTAAATGAGAAAATAGTAAAACGGTTACATATTAACATCGGCTCTTTTGAAACACCAAAATTCATAAATTATAGGGGAAAGCACAGTTTGCACCCCTGAACTATTGAGGTTGTACTAAATACCCTCTTGAACTACCAAACGTACCAAAATGACCCATGTCCTCCCTTCTCTCTCTCCTCTCTCCTTCATCTTCTCGCCATTTTCTTTTTCTTTTTGCTAAACAAGGATTCTCTCCTCTCTCTCCTCTCATTTCATTTCGTCCTTTTCTTTCTAATCTCACCTTCAATTGTTTTGACAACATTACTATTTGGGAAACTGGAGATGAATTTGAACGTTGAATTTGGCTTTGGGTTTGCGATTTGTTGTAAGCTTCTGGATTGCAAGTTGCAACAATCAAATTTCTATTAATCAATGGGAATGTCATACAATTGAACTTCAATTGCAAGTTTCGGGAATTTTGGTTCAATTTGAATTTATTCTTTAATTTAGGTTTCTAGTTTTGGATTTGATTTATTTTTAGTCACTGGTTAGCAAATTATCTTGAAGTTTTGTAGGGAGGACTTTTCCCCATTATTAAAAATTGATTTGCATTTTCCATTTTTTATGATTCAGTTTTGCAGTTCGTGAACTGTATTGAATTTGGTGAATATGGATTGATTAAATTAAATATAATTTAATCGTGGATTGATTCAATATGGCATCTATTATGAAATAAAATTTTAAATAATATTTGAAATTAAAATTGAGTAAAATATTTTCTTTGGATTAATACTTCAATTAGAAAAGATAAATGAAAAATATATATATATATATATATATATATATATATATATATCAGGAATTGAGGGTAAAAGTGTCAAAAAATTACAATTAGACAAAGTCAACTCCCCACATGAGCACACACAAACGGTTTGGAAACGTCGGGGTTATTTTGGTACGTTTAGTAGTCCAGGGGTATTCAGTACAATCCCTATAGTTCAGGGGTGCAAACTCATAAGTATATTCCCAAATGCAAACACATCTGGCTTATCCGGAGCATGATCTGCAACAAATTTCTAAAGGACTTGCAGTCTCAAACAAATTAATACAAAGAAAAATGATACAAAGCCCGTAAAATAGAACTTCAATTCATAGTAGTCGAGAGTGTAACAGAAAGTACCTTCAAGCCATGCGCCAACATCCATGTAGCCACAGCTTCCAATCACACTACGGCATTTATATATTGTCCTATCGGGGAATATCCCACCAGTTACAAGACCAAAATCACATAATTTTGGATTATAATCCTGCAACAGAATCAAAACTAATAACTGTTAACATTCATTTGCTTTATAGGATATTCAGTTACGGGAATGAAAAACTTACATCGTACCTTGTCAAGAACAATATGAGCACAATCAAGATTGCGAAGTGTGAGAGGTTTGTACGGACTCTTTATAATCTTAGTGGTCCGGTCCGGTTTTCAAAACATTGGTTATATCTCTTTCACCAATATGCCCATCCCTTTAATATTTATTATAAATAAAGGAGACATTCATGTATATGACAATATTACCCCAACCCTTTATACTCAATTCTTAATTGTAACCCCAATTTAATCAATTTTGTCCACAAAAATTCAATGTTTACCACAAAGATCCAATTTTGACTTTTTTTTTTCAAAAACTTTTTTTGCCGCCGGATTCCGGCGTTGACTTTTCGATTTTTTTTTACGTCCGCCGCTAAACGTTGACCGTAATTGTGATGTCACTGACAGTAAATTAATGTAATTATACTGTCAATGACAGTTAATTATCGTAATTGTACTGCCGTTGACAATACATTTATGTAATTGTTCTGCAGTTGACAATACATTTATATAATTGTTCTGCTGTTGACAGTAAATTAACGTAATATTATTATTTTTCATTTTTTGGTATTTTTTTTTATTTTTTTTGATTTGTTGACAAGTCAACGTAATTATATTACTGTCGTTGACAGTAAAATAAGTAAAATAACTGTAAACAGAATAATATTAATGTCAACAACATTACTATTATTATTTTTTTGGGTTTTTTGTTTTGTTTGAGTTATTCACGGAGTAACGTAATAATATTACTGTCTATTATTGTAATATTACTGTGGTTGACGGTAATATTACTGTTGTTATAGTAATATTGCTGTCAACCACATCAATATTATTATTTTGTTTGGATTTTTTTGTTTGTTTGAGTTATTCACGGGGTAACGTAATAATATTACTGTCTATTATTGTAATATTACTGTGGTTGACGCTAATATTACTGTTGTTATAGTAATATTACTATCACTCATAGTAATATTAATTCTTTTGGCTTTTTATTATGTTTACATTTGTTGAACGGTCAACATATTAATATTACACTATTACACAATAATAATGAGTTTTGTTGTGTTACTGTGCTAGAGATTAATATAGCAATATTACTTTGTTAAACTGTAGTTTAGTTAATTTTATTGTGTTTAACAGTAATATAGTTAATATTACTGTCAATCACAGCAATATTGCTGTTTAAACGAAAAAAAAATGTTACAGAAAGAAAAAAAAAAAAAAAAAAAAAAATCGAAAAAGTCAACGCCGGAGACCGGCGAAAAAATCTGGAAGAAAAAAAAAATCGAAAAGTCAACGCTGGAATCCGGCGGCAAAAAATTGTTTTTTGAAAAAAAAAAGTTTTGGGTCTTCCTATCCTAACCTCTCATGTGTTAGGATAGGAAGACCCATTTTTCCATATTATTTACAACACTCTCCCTTGGGGATTCCTATCAAAACACTATTGTGCTTTTCATGTTGCCTCGTTAAAACCTTCTGAGTAATAAAAACCCAGTGGGTAAAAACAACCTCGGTTAGGAAAAAGAGTACAATGCACAATCTTTCCAATCAGCATGTGTTGCCTTGTTAAAACCTTGGCGAGTAACGAAAACCCCGTAAGGCAAATAAACCTCGCACAAAAGAAAAAGAGTACAACAGGGCACCCAAGTATCTTCTGGATACTGAGTACCTACACGGTACTCCCCCTCAAGTTAACTACCCCTGATATGTACAAGGGAGTGAGCTCGGATAATCTACTCAAGTCAATAGCCTTAGCATGTTTTTAAAAGTTTACTTTAGGCAAAACTTATTCTAAAAGTTGGAGCAGTTATCTCAAATTTTGATTTGTGGGATCATTATTTGTCTAGACTATTGTTGTTGCTGATTGAAGAAAACTTCAATGCTATTGCTGGCGCCAGATTTCTGTTAG